TGCAGGATGGGGAGGAAAAAGAGAAAAATGTGTGTTTTTGGCTGGCAAGCAAATTGGCAGACACTCATTGTGTGCGCCTTGGGTGTTACTATTATGCCTTAGAAAGAACACGTCAAGTGTGTTTTGAGTGTATTTGTCACCACACTTTAACGGGTCCCCTTTCATGTGTAAACGCCATAGATGTTTAAATCCCTGTCTGAGGTTCAGATAGTATATTTAGTTCTTTTGACAGTGTCAGATGATGGATAATACACGTCTGTGTAGATTAAGCAAGGAAAAGCTCTTTTAAGAAAGTTGCGGACTGAGTTGCAGTGCTGCTGTCTTGACTCTGTCTTCTAGATCACGAAAAGAGCTCCCGTTCCCATTGCAACACCTTCTCCCAAACGATCCCGTCTTGATGGCACTTCAGCACAAGAAACCCGGAGCATATTCCAGTACTTGGAGAGATAAAAGAGACAGATAAAAGAGACATGGGTTGCTGCCACATCCAGTACAGTTTTATCTGCTTTCCATACTACCCAGGTGTCCAAAAGCGAGGCATTCCGGTGTGTATCTCCCTAATCTGAGAACCCAAGGCTGTATGGATAACAGCCACTTGAATGAGCCAGAGTTCAGGGGACTGCCTGGATCCTCAGGTACAAAGAGGAAAGCAGGGAAGAAAAAGTTATGATTTACCTAAATGGATTCAGCATCAAATCCAGCATTAACTGTGAACTTGCATTTCTCCACATCCAACTCCCAGAAGTGGTCTGTATTGAGGGAAACTGGATTAAATGCCTGTGCTTCATTGCTTTTTGCCACTACAAAGGCCAGATATATGTATTTTCCTCCACTTCTACACTGTTGTTGAAAGCTTATGGACTTTATATCTTGGGATGTTCCTTCTTTTTTTCTCCACCAAATCAAGGTTTGCATTTAACTTCTCTAAAAGACCATTTTGTACTGTAGGCCAAGATATAGAAATCCATTTCCTTCTATATCTCACACCTCATTCTTATGTTCTGTTCTGCCTGTTTTTAATTTTTTTTTTCTTAACAAAACCTTGAATTTTGTATCAAGGAAGAAAACAGAAGGAGGGCAAAGTCTTGTTCTGCCAGTTGTGTCTCCCAGTTGTCCATAAGTTGTCTATGAACACTTTAAAATTTTTAAAATGAAAAATAGAGATCTAGAGAAAAAGGATCTTGTTTTATAGTGCCAGTCAATTTTGAAGCAGGATTTGAAATCTGGAAGATGAATGAAACTAATGCAGCATGCTTCTGACTATGGTCTGAATGTTTGCACTGAAAACTTTATAAAGCAACATCCTGTCTGGTGCTTCACAACCATTCACTTCATTTCTCCAGTGAATTTAGGTCTTGGAAGAATGTATTTACATGGTGTTAAGGCTAAAGCTAGATTGTAAATTTATTTTGTCAAGAATGTTTGCCTGAGTGCGTATTGTATGTGGGTGTGTATTGTGTATTAAAAAATTTAAAATTGGTTGTCTGTGGTATCTATAAAGGTTGTGATACTCTGCAAACATGATTTCTTAATAAAGGTGTTGCTTTTAATCTTTAGAAGTTGGAATTTTGGATTATGGCCAAAATGAAGATTTCATGGGAAGGTCTTTGAATAGTGTTTTCATGCCATTTTTCAGGAAAGGTAAAGCAGTTTTTGCCCTGGGGAGGTGGTTGTGTATCAGTGCATACAACTGTGTAGTGGTTTGAGTTTGGATCCAACTTGTTCTAGAACCCATTTATTGGTCTTTTCAGCAGTCCACAATACCTGCAGAACTCTCCTCCATCACCACATCTCAAATGAGCTGGTTTTCTTCCTATCTGCTTTCTTCACTGTCTAACTTTTGCAACCATACATAGAAATAGGCACTCCTTATTTTTAAGTACAGTCAGCTCTCCACATTTGCGGCTTTGACTTTTGCAGATCTGATTATTCACAAATGTAATATGTCATCTCTAGGTCCTCCGGCTTGACTCGATGGGTAATGTCTGCAGAAATCGAGCTGGAGGATACTTCTCTAGGAATTTGTAAGTCCTCCGGCACAATTCTCTGGTCGACTTCTGGAAGATGTTGATCATAGAGTTGCACTAGAGGACCTATAAGTGTCTAGAGAAGTGTTCTTTGAGGTTAAAAAAATATTTGCAGTTTTCCCACTTTTACGGGGGTCATGTGCCCCCAACTCCAGCAAATGAGGGCCCATTGCAGTTGACACTCTCAGCCACGGGGGGGAGCAGTTGAGAAATGCGAATTATTTTATTAGGTCCAAGGAAAGAGAATTAAACATGATTAGGGATTTGCTTTCATTAAATGACCGCTGCTAGTGGAAAACACCCGCCACTGAATACCCTGCAAGCTGCTCTTGCCCGAAGCTCTGCGATGTTCAAAAACCTTGCTTTTTGTCACAAAGCAAGAGGAATAGTTCCAGCAAACCTCATTGAATTTCTGCTTCTGGAGGGGGGCAATCTGTGCAAGCTGCTGCAGCCCTTGGTTTTGTTAACTCTCCAGCCCTCCTGCCGCTTTTGGCCACAGATGAGAGAGATGGAGGCATGCGATGTTTCATTTAGCAAAAATAAAGGAGCTCTAACTGTACAGAAGAGAGCCAGTGTGGTACAGTGGTTTGAGTGTTGGACTAGGACTCTTGAGACCAGAGTTCAAATCCTGGCTCGGCCATGTAAAGCCACTGGGTGACCTTGGGTAAGTCACTCTTTCAGCCTCAGAATGGCAACGGCAAACCCTCTTTAAAGAAACATATCAAGAAAATCCCCTGTTAGGTTCACCTTAGAGTCACCATAGTAAGTTGGAAATGACTTGAAGACACGCAACAACAACAAATTGTCAATTACCTTACACAGTATCAGGAATTTGCTGGGGTAAACTCTATTTTTCCCCCTTCCCAGTAGGCTCAGGCAAAAGCAAACTGCCGCAACCTCTCCTAGCTTGCATATTCTTTCTGTTTAATAATGCTGGTAAAACATGCCAATCCAACCCCAATTTTTATATATATTATATTATATTATATTATATTATATTATATTATATTATATTATATATTATATTATATATTATATATAGGCATGTTTTACCTCTACACCACCTAGTTTTCCTGATTCCAGCATGGAGACTTCTTGATAAATTCAGTGTCCTCCACCTAACAAAAGAGACCTGTGGCCTCACAAAGGATGGAGACATGTTGGATTGCAAAAAAGCATCTTTTTTGTTTTTGTTTTGCAAATGGATGTTAAATTTCCTGGACTTTTGAGTATCTCCCAGTGACCACATGGCCAGAAAGAGGAGGCTCCAACCTGCAAGTAATACCTCTCCATACCATCTGAAATGAGAACAAAAACCCAGCAAAATGCAGGCCTAGGACTAACATCTTCAATTTTTTCCCCCCTCCTGTATGGTTTTTAACACCTTTGCCGGATGAAGAAGCCAGTGGAGCTTCGAAAGCTTGCATTGTGTAATTGTGCATTTTGGTTGGCCCATTCAATAAAAGTATCGCTGTTTGGTGATGTTTGATGTACTATATGGCCAACATGATATATCCTGCCCTTGTTAGCATCCCTGGTTCCCAGGCGAGGAAATGAAAAAGAGATTAAAAGGCACAAGGCAGCCTGCTTCTAACCCATGATAAAGGTTAACATTGCCAACATTTTCCCAACCATCACTCTCCTGCTTCTCCATCCCTTCTGTTGCAACCGTGGCAGGTCTTTGGGGGTCTCCGGAAGCAGGCGCTACATTCGATTTGCTCCCTTTCCCTTTCCTAAGGGAACCATGGATGGTGGAAAGTGGCAAAGGAGGGCGGAAGGGGGAGAAAAAAAACCCTATTTGTTTGTCTTGTCTAATTTAATTTCTGTTATTTATCAAAGAGACAGGCTATTTCAGAAACCAGATGGACCCAGGCTAGAAATGGTCTGTAGTTTCAAGGTGTGAAAAATGGCTTTGGAGTGGACAAGCCGAGAAGCTTTGTGTGGGTTTGGGGTG